CCCTGAACACAGGAAGTAAGCCTTATTTAGCCATCATCATGTACGTGGAGTGGAAGTGTGTGTGTGTGTGTGTGCTGAACTTTCAATAAGTTCACATTCAAACAGATTTCAGCTGATGGGTTTGATTGTAGTTTATATCTGCGATCATAAATCTAGTTTGGTTTGTTTGCTGTCGCGCCACAAACGATCCACAGCGGAGTCGGTTCGGTTGTATTAAACGGACCTGAGTTCACTGTAACAGAACCAAACAGGTTGACCGTGAAATGTGTTGGTTATCAGTGTTTCGCTGTGTTTGTCGCCCCCCAGTGGTCGCCATCTACGACTACGCCGCAGACAAGGTGGACGAGCTGTCGTTCCAGGAAGGAGCGATCATCTACGTCATCAAGAAGAACGAGGACGGCTGGTTTGAGGGAGTGATGAACTCCACCACCGGACTCTTCCCCGGAAACTACGTAGAGTCCATCATGCACTACGCCGACTAGAGTCGAGAGAGTTTCTGTTCGCAGAACCAGAAGGGAAACGTTCTTTATTTTTGGTTCCTTTAGATTCACACTAACCAATCACGAGCTCATCAGAGCCTGTGGACTAAAGTATTTTATTGTGTGTGTAGTTTACGGGGCGGAGGTCAGAACTTGTGATCAGACTGTGTTTTGTTCTGCTTCTACCCATAATGCTTTGCACTGAGAGGCTCATTGCTGGTTCAGATCCTGTCCTCAGATCAGTTGATAGGTTGGACTGTTGGGGGACTGTTGGTGAGTTCGACTCTGCAGAGCAGTGAGACAAATCCAGTTTAGTTTCCGTCTCATCACAAGAGATTTAAAGATCAACAATCAATAATCAATAATCAATCCATGCTGACAGGAAACAGATCTTCAGGTTAGAGATGTTTCATACACGTTCCAACTGAGTACAGATCTGATATATGTGCATTTATAATGGCTGTATATCAGATCTGTACAGACGATACTGATAGCACAGAGTTATCTGCTCTCTATATCAGAACTATTGAACTCTACAGTCTGTCCTCTCTGGGCTTCCGTAGTTTTACCCTCTCGCTGTCACACTCATCCGCAGTCTTTCCCCTGAAGTGAGGACTTGAGTTAATTGTCAGTATCATGGTGTTGGAGAAGAACAAACTGCTATGCAGGAGACACTTTTGCACTAAACACTAAATTCAAAAGATTTTATTTCTCCTTTCCCCTCTTCCTTCCTCTCAAGCACTCTTCCTCTCTGTGGAGAGCGTTTACAGACCAGACTCCAACATAAACTCAATTTTAAGACATTTATTTAAGACCAAACATACGTACTTGGTGTTGAGTGGCCTTTACCGGCTCGCGTAACACGAATAACTATTCGCCCTTTAATCTGTCTCCCTGCGGCAATATGAGCCTAAAATTTTTGGTTGAGGTTTGGTTGAGGCTACGCTACCGAGAGCTGGAATAAATTAACTGACATATATTTTCTTTGTAGTTTAGCAGTAAAATGAATATAAACATCGTCCCTGCACCGTTTCCAGTATTGTAATGAAGTTACTATCAACAGTATTGACCTTTTTTAGAACTTCAATATGCCTCAAAGTCTCATAAGCTCTGTAAATATCAGAGTTCAGGGTCTGTCTGTATCAGGAAGTCTAACTAACATTCTCAGAGACACATTTTCATCCTACTTTTACAACTTTTACCCCGAAACAGACCAGAACC